CTGGCCTGGCTGCCCCTCTGATGCTGGCCTGGCTGCCCCTCTGATGCTGGCCTGGCTGCCCCTCTGATGCTGGCCTGGCTGCCCCTCTGATGCTGTCCTGGCTGCCCCTCTGCCACTCTGCTCACAGCGCCAGCTCAGTGTCCTCCCATGTGGATGAGCAGTCCTGTGGCCGTTTCTGCCGCCCTGGCCTCCTGGCCTGCAGAGGCGCCTGCTGGGGGCCATTGTCCCTCTGAGGGCTGCGCTGCGGGCAGTGGGGCAGTGGGAGGCTGCCACCCCAGCAAGGTCACCGTGGGAGACAAGGGGTGAGGCCCGGGGAGCCAGGCCAGGCCCAGGCGGGCCCTCGGCTCCGGAGGGCCTCTATGGAGGCCCGGGAAGTGAGTCCAGGCCCAGGTGTGAAGGTCAAGTGCAGTGCAGAGGTCTTGGCTTCCCTGGGGAATCCTGGTCTTGGTTCCCAGGACTCCCCCTGAGGGGCCCAGTGGACCTGGGGCTGAGCCCCACAGGTCCCCGGGGGCCGGGCCTGAGGGGCTCTCAGCACCACCTAGACCTGCACCTCCCCCTCCACATCCCCACGTTGAAGCCAGGACAGAGGCAGGGGATGCTGAGCAGCTTTATTAGGACCAGTGGGGAGACGGCGTGGGGGAGTGGCCGGGAGGGAGGGTGGGTTTTGGCTCAGGAGCATCTAGACCAGCTGGGAGGGGCATCCCAGGGCAGATCCTGGGAGCAGCAGGACCCCAGGCCAGGCAAGGGGCAGATGGTCCCTGAGGGAGGGGTCCCTTGTGCCCTGCGGCTGGCAGGTTGTGGGGCAGGCAGTGGAGTGATGCTGTGGTGAGGACAGGACTTAGAGGACACTCCAGAGCTCAGCAGCTGCACTGGCCCGGGGAGCCGCCACAGCAGGCCTGGCGGGAGCAGGCAGGGCGGCACAGCAGGGACACGCACGAGGCCGCCGGGCGGCAGCAGCCGGGCTGGCAGCAGGGGGCACAGCAGGAGGAGGTGGGCACGCAGCAGGCGGGCCTGCACACGGGCCTGCACAGCAGGGACACGCTGGAGGACGGCGGGCAGGGCGGGCAGGGGCGGCAGCAGGGCTGGCAGCTGGACGGCTGGCAGCAGCAGGAGGAAGCCCCGCAGCACACGGGCTCACAGCACACGGGTCTGCAGCACACGGGTCTGCAGCACACGGGCTCACAGCACACTGGCCTGCAGTACATGGACTTACAGCAGACGGGCCCACAGCAGGACGGCTGGCAGGCTGAGCAGGGACAGCAGCAGGGCTGGCAGCTAGAAGGCCGGCAGCAGGAGGGTGTGCAGCAGCTGGCGCAGACGGACTGGCAGCAGGGGCTGGACGCACAGCCCGCTGGGGAGCAGAGGAAGGTGAGGCAGGGGGCGGGGGCGCAGCCGCGGGGCTGGCAGCAGCTGGGGGCGCCGCAGGGCTCGCAGCAGCTCTCTGGGCAGTCGTCCACCTGCCAGGAGGCGTGGGTGCAGGCGTCGGAGCAGACGGACATGGTGGAGGCGGCCATGGCGGCGGGGCTGGGAGGAGGTGAGGGTCTGACTGTGGGGAGTGGGTGGGTGGGGGGGCCCTGCCCCTGGGCTTTTCTCCCTGCGGTGTGTCTGTCTGTCTGGATCTCAGCGCCCTTCCCTTTCCGTGTTGCTCTGGGTACATGAGGACCTTCATTAGGCTCAGCTCGTAAACTTCCTGGTGCTGGGCGGGCTGCGGCCTGCACGTGGCTCTGCAGGGCACCTCAGGACCCGTGGGGACGGTGGCAGGGCTGACCGCGCCCTCCTCCCAGGCCTCACTGCCAGCGGCCCTCCCGGGCTCCTGGGGGACACTCTGTCCCCAGCCTCTGCGCCGGTGGCCTCAGCCGGGTCAGATGGACTGAGCTGCGCGTCTGCGCCCAGACAGCGGAGGAACAGCCCTCCTGGGGGTTCTGGGTCGCCGTGGTCCGGTGCTGCTGCGGGCACTGGCCTGGATCTCTCCCTGGGGAGGACACCGGCGTCCACCCTGGCCGGGTCTCCGGGAAGCGGGTGTGTTTGTAGGACACACAGATTCAAGGATGCACCAAGCCTGACCTTCCTGTCCATCCAAGGCCCACTGGAGCCGCCATGTGCACGGGAGAGGTGGTCAGGGGAGGAGGACACAGCCTGGTGGAGGGGGGCGAGGAGGAGGGTCACCTGGAGATGCTAAAGGACACCCGTGGTCAGCTGGGCAGCGGCTCTGACCCCAGGACGGGCAGGCATGATCATGTCCTCTGCAGGATGACCGGCTTGGCTGGTGGGTGGCTCAATGGGAACCCATTTCCCAGTGTCCTGTCGGCCTTGTGGGGGTAAAGAGCAGGCTGGACAGGCAGGGAGCCCCTCCGGCCAGAGGTCCTGCCCAGGGCAGTGGAGGGGGAAGGGCAGGGATGGGGAGACAAAAATCAGACTGAGAAATCTGAACCAGGTTCAGAGCTCCCCTGCCAGACGCCCACCAGGACGGGACCTTCCCACCACGCCCCGCCGACCCCGGGGTCAGGACCGTGAACACCGCGTCTGTTCCCAGGCCCGGCACGGGGCCTGCAGCGCCAGTCAGCACAGGGGGAATGTGGCCTTGTGCGCCTGGCTCTGCCGCCCAGCATCCTGTGCGCCTGGCTCTGCCGCCCAGCACCCTGTGCGCCTGGCTCTGCCGCCCAGCACCCTGTGCGCCTGGCTCTGCCGCCCAGCACCCTGTGCGCCTGGCTCTGCCGCCCAGCATCCTGTGCGCCTGGCTCTGCCGCCCAGCACCCTGTGCGCCTGGCTCTGCCGCCCAGCACCCTTTCAAGGTGCACCCAGGATTGTCACAGGGTCGGAGCGTGTTCTTTTCTGGGAGTGATTTTCCTCCATACAGATAGCTGAGCGCTGATGTTTCCCTGTGGGAGTGTGAACTTGTGCGCACTTTTGTTTGCACGATTCTTTTCACTTCCTTTGGGTGCCATGGCAGGGGTGTGTGTAATTCTGTGTCCAGCTGCCGAGAGAAGGCCAGGCCGGTTCCGCGACACCTGAACCCCCTCCGCCCGCTACTGGTTAAGAAGGGGGTCTCTTGAGTGTGCTCATACCACGGTCCTCCTCGCTCAGCCCCTCAGGTAGCAAGAACTGCAGGAGTGAAGCCAGCGCCCAGCCGTGTGGTCTTCACGTGTTCTGGGTGTGAGCTTCCCGAGGTTCCACACGTTCCGTGTGTTCTTCATGTGTTCTTCATGTGTTCTGGGTGTGAGCTTCCCAGTGTTCCCCACGTTCCGTGTGTTCTTCACGTGTTCTTCATGTGTTCTGGGTGTGAGCTTCCCGGGTCCCCATGTCCCGTGTGTTCTTCATGTGTTCTTCACGTGTTCTGGGTGTGTTCTGGGTGTGAGCTGGGTGTGAGCTTCCCGGGTCCCCACGTTCCACGCGCTATCATCTTAGCTCTTGATTTGTTTTCCCTTGCACAGAGCATACTGAATTGTGATGAAGTCTGATTTCCCTGCTTTTTTTCCCTCTCTTGTTGCGTATGCTTTTTGTGTCATAGCTAAGAAACCACAGTCACATCTCACATAAAGATTTCCCTTCATGTTTCCTTCTCAAAGTCCTTGAGTTCCTGTGTTTAGGTCTTTTTTTTTTTAATCCACTGTGAGTTAATCTTCAGATGTGATGTGAGTGTGGCACTGTGTGTGTTAGATGACTCAGAATCGGTCCGTGGACCGACATGCCAGCACCTCTGCCTTCATTCCCACAGTTTGGAAGTAAATCATATTTTTTGAGCGTCTTCATGAGTTTGGATTAGCTCGGTGGAAGAAGGTCACATGCTCACATGGATTGTACTTCTTGTTTTCTGATTTGCACCTCCCTCAGTTTTCCTTGCCTAAGTTCTCTGCTGCGTCCAGTCTGGGTCGAGGGCCCGTGGCTGGTGTGGATGTCCGTATCTGGTCTCTGACCTGAGGGTGGGGTTGAGGACCTGTGGCTGGTGGCGGTGTGGACCGCGGTGTCTGGTCTCTGACCTGAAGTCAAGCTGTGGCCTGCACACCAGTGTTATGTCACCCTGGGAAGTGTGGCACCACTCACTGATTGCTGTGCGTCTGGCGGGTTTGTCTTCATCAGGAGAAGGTGTTGGCTTTTGTTAACTAGCTTTTCTGAATCCATGGAGATGGGCCTGTGGTCCACCTCCATTCTGTGTCTGAGTCCCAGAGGTGGATTTTCAAACGTCCTGGTTGGTCCCCATGTGTCCGGCTGTGAAATCGGGCACCTGCTGCTCCGTTTCCTTGCTTTGTATTTTTGTGGAGGGTTTTTGAATCCGTATGTATAAAAGACAGTGAAACAGTTACTTTTTGCTTGTTTTGTTTTAGTAGGGAAATGCTGACCCCACAGAGTGATTTCAGAAGTGTTCCTCTTTTATTTGGTAGAAGTTTGGAAGGGGGTGAGCATTCTTTTCTCCCTCTATGTTGTCCCACAGAGACACCCTGTGTCTCTGCGCTTTTCTGTTTTGGTTTTAACTGTATTTTTTTTGTCTTTTCTTTTTTGGTACTGGGGATCAAATCCAGGACGTTGCGCTTGCTAGGCAAGCGCTTTGCCACTGAGCTACATCCCAGCCCTCTGCGCTTTTCTTTGGGACGTTTTTTGGTTAGTGATCTAAGGCTTACTGTTCAAAGCCAACCCAGGCAGGAAAGTCTGTGAGTCACTTATCTCCAATTAACCACCAAAAACCAAGAGTGGAGCATGGCTCAAGTGATAGAACATGAGCCTTGAGCAAAAAAGCTCAGGGACAGTGCCCAGGCCCCGATTTCAAGTCACAAGCCTGGTACTATAAAATAGTTATGAATCAGATAACGGCATTAAATATCAACCCGGAGTCCAATCCATCAAGGATATAAGATCACTGTGAACATTTATGTACCTAACACGTAGATCCAGAAACAGAGGAAGCAGAAGTGGAAAGAACCAAGAAAGAAATAGCTCCAAAAACCACTTCTGCTAACAAAGAGGTCATATGACATGGGTTGAAGACAAAAGTCATGTCATGACACAGACGTCTTGAAGAACACAGTGACCGAACCAGGCTGCGTGGAATGGTGAAGCTCTCTGCCCAACAGCAGCTGAGGACCCCTCGCAGCTGTCCGGAGAGCCGCCTGCCTGGCCAACACCATGCCCGAGACCGCTCATCTCCCATCACTACGCAGAGCTAGAAAGGAAAGCAGAAGGAAAACTGGAAATCCACACAGGTGGCAACCAAACAGCACACACTTAAACACCAGTGTGGTCCACAAGAAACTGAAGGAGGGGGTGGAAAATCAGGAGATGAATGACAATGAAAACATCACAGATCCAAACTTCTGGGGTGCAGCAAAAACAGTGCACAGAGGGAAATTCGTAGCCACAGTGCCTAGGTTAAAAACAAGGAAGCTCACAAACAAACAACCTAAATTTATGCCTTCAGGAACTTGAAAAAAGGAAGCGTAAACCAACCCCAAAGCTTTCAGAAGGAAGGAGAGGAAGGTCAGAGCCAGGGTAATGGAGTTGAGAATAGTAAACCCAGAAAGCCACATCCTTGTAAAGAACAATGATTTTGACAAAGCTTTAGCTTGACTGAGAAGAAATCCTAAGTGAGAGCGGGGCTCCCAGCACCAAGGTCTTCTGATGGAAGGATTAAACTGTGTGAACGGCAAGTTAGATAAGCATGCGCAGGGACCTGACCCCCCAAGTTAGATAAGCATGCGCAGGGACCTGACCCCCCCAAGTTAGATAAGCATGCGCAGGGACCTGACCCCCTAAGTTAGATAAGCATGCGCAGGGACCTGACCCCCCCAAGTTACATAAGCATGCGCAGGGACCTGACCCCCTAAGTTAGATAAGCATGTGCAGGGACCTGACCCCCCAAGTTAGATAAGCATGCGCAGGGACCTGACCCCCCCAAGTTAGATAAGCATGCGCAGGGACCTGACCCCCCAAGTTAGATAAGCATGCGCAGGGACCTGACCCCCCCCAAGTTAGATAAGCATGCTCAGGGACCTGAGCCCCCCAAGTTAGATAAGCATGCGCAGGGACCTGACCCCCCCAAGTTAGATAAGCATGCGCAGGGACCTGATCCCCCCAAGTTAGATAACGCGTGTGCAGGGGCCAGACCCCCCAAGTTAGATAACGCGTGTGCAGGGACTTACACACACACGTTAGATAACGCGGGTGCAGCCCCCCCACGTTTGATAACGCGGGTGCAGCCCCCCCCACAAGCTCCTGCAGACACCAACATGCCGACGTGCCAACACCGAGACGTGCGCTGGCCGCGCTCGGGTCAGCCTGCCTCACCGCTACTGTGACGTGACGGGCTAGTGAGCGGCGCTCTCATCTTCTACCCCCGGACAGGTCATGATTCCTCCTTCGTTTAGTTTTCCTTTCGTGGCACTGGGAGCTAACCCTAGGCCCCCGCACACACTAGCCAAGCACTGAGCCTCTGAGCCTCCCTCCCAAGCTTGTGTTGTGTTGTGCCTATGCTGGGGCTTGAACTCTGGGCTAGTGCTCAGGGCTAGTGCTCTACCACCTGAAC